TGATATAAATGAGTGTGTGGCACCTGTGTCAAACAACACGTGAGCAAAAGAATGAGAGATTAGAATCATACCCTCAACCACCGCGTTGCTGGTTTGACTTCCAGAACTGCCTCCTGCCAGGGCATAAGCTTGTCCCTGTACTTTCCCTTTTCCTCTGTCACCAGCATTAGGCCGTTGGGTCGGAGGCATATACTGTGGTGGCCCTTCTGGACTGTAGGAAGCGTCACTTTAGGCTTGTTTAGCCGGTGGTCGATTAGGACAATTCCTCCTAATATGACCCACCTGCCCACAATGGTGACACCTGGGCCCGTATGGAGCACTTCTATCACTTCCTGACGAACTACTGCCACCGTTAACCACTCCCCCACCAGGCTGTCCCTGGTTGCGGTTCCTTCCACCACTCCGCTGTGGCCCGCCAGAAACAGATGGTCCCCCAGAAATTGAAACTCTTCCCGCTTGTTCTTTACTCTGGTGATAAGCTATGTTATCCTGCTCCACCCTAGTTGCAGCAACCACCAAATCTTAGAAATTCCGGATTCTCAAAGCCACCAATGGTCTCCTCACAGAGTTCTTGAGGCCATTCTCAAACTTAAGACATCTAAGGTGTTCAGATTCCACCAAAGATGGCGCGAACCGGGACATGTCATTAAACTTGGCCTCATACTCACTTACAAACATGTCACCTTGCAGTAGAGACATGAATTCCAACGCTTTTTCCTCCCTATAACTCTGAGGGAAGTACTGCTCATTGAACAATGTCTCAAATTACTCACAGGTTAGTCCTGTAACATCTATTCTTCTCTTAACCTGTTTCCACAAGGTATTTGCTAAACCCTCCATCTTGTATACCGTAAATTCCACCCAGTATTCATCTGAAACTCTCATAGTACTCAAATGCTTGACTATGGAGTCTAACCAGAACTCTGCCTCCTGGGGTCCACCTTCACTATTAAACGAGGGGATAGGCGCACGCCTAAATTTCTGAAAGTACCCTTGCTTCCTATCCCCAACCGGCCGCTCGTTTTGAGCTCTAGTGGCCATGCCTTGAAAGGCAGCATACAGGGCATCCAGAAATCCCTGATTCTGTTGTGCCGGTTGATTAGCGGGCCTACGGTGAGGCGCCATTTCCTTTAACTGAAATAAAACTAGACTATTCAGTGGATCACAGATGTCACACATGTATGTACAATCCTGGGGTTTCTTAACCTAGGGCTCTGATACCACTCTTGTCACGCCCCCCAAACGGGGTGGGTGACGTGGAGCTCGATTAGGGGTTAATAAAGCAGATTCTCAGACGAGCCCCACTCAACTGCATTAAAATATAAATAAATTACAGAATTTTGGAGCCTCTGACACACAGGGCTCCACCCCACAGGATATACAGTATCATACATAAATGCGCATGTAAATAATCATTACAACAGACATCAACCACAGTCTAGTTAATCCAAATATTACATAAGTTTACAGAATTTCTCAAATTCCTTACATTTGTCCAAGAGGATGTCCACGATCACATTTATTCAAGAGGATGAACTCAATCCTCTCTTAATTCAACAGTAGCAATCTTTTGCTACCCCGCACCGCTCCTAGAGTCTCCTGGGAGGGGTTTAATACATTTGAAAAATAAAACGTGAGCGAAAGGCCCAGTAGAATATAATTTGAAATGACTTAAAATAAATGAATAAATAAATGAGCGAGTAAATAAATGAATGAATAAGTAAATCAAATTAGACATTCAGTCCTGACAGAACAGTCGAAACCTCACATCCTTTTTCTCAAAAGAAATATAACTGAAAATAACCGTTTCACAGGCTTCAGCAAGTAATTAGTATAAATTACTTACCTAACCAAGTGCCTCGCCTACCCGGACTGAGTTTCGGGTTCTGCCCCCGAGGATGCACTCTCCGCATCCTATCTAGGCTTACAGCAATAGACTCTATTACCAGTTCACAAGATCTCTTTGCTTAAGAAATCATTCATTAACTTTTTTGAAATCGTTTTTATGACCCCGCGAACTACTCAAGCCGCGGGCCCCATGACAAGACAAGTCATGAGGTTCCATGACTAAACAAGCCATGGTTTTCAAAGCATTTTTCTTACACAAGCCAATCCCTTTCTTTAAAACATTTTCAAGGCCAAAATTATTTTTGAAAACAGGCTCACAAGGAAAAGGGATAGAAATCCTACCTCGCACTATCAAACCTGGGACTAGCGTTGCCTTTCCCGGCTTTCGCTTCCTCAAGCCCCTTCAGTCTGAATCCTCAGCGATTACTGATGCAAGACAACGCTTTAGGATTAATTCTCATTCCTAAAGCAATCCAAATCTCAATTTCCAACTAAGATTTCCTATTAGTGTGCCCTAATCCATTTTCATGTTTCAAATTATCATTCCAAGGGTTTTCAATCTCAAAATAAGGATTAAAGATGCTAATCCATCTGTCCCAAGTTCCCAAATGAAGCTAATTTGGGTTCTCCCCGCATACAGGGGTCAAAACAGTAATTTCAGGCCAAACAGGGTCAAACCCCATGTCAACCGGTCGACCGGTGACAGAGCAGTGCATTACCATCGGTCGACTGGTGGTGTGCACTCCGGTCGACCGGACAAGTCGACCGGTCAGGCCAATGCAATCCGTTCGACCGCACCGGTCGACCGGTTACCATGTGATCCGGTCGACCGCACATGTCGACTGGTGGAATCAGCTGCGTGAGAGAAGCTCGCGGAAATCAGTCCAAAAACCTACAAATCCAGTCCCAAATCGAGATATTTCAAAGAAAAACCACTAGATCTGGGTTCTAGGTCCTAAAACAAGTCCAAAGAACCCAAGATCTCCAATTTCTACTCTAGTTTTACTCAAAAACCATCAAAATTCGGTTTGAACCAAAATTAAGTTTTGAAATTTAAAAACTTTAGATTCAAGAGAGGTTCTTTCAGTAATCTTACCTCGAATCTTTCTCTTGACATTGAAAACTTCTTTAAATCTTTCCTTGGTTTAAGATCCGTTTGATTTGGGACAAAAATGAGAGAGAGAGAGAGAGAGAGAGAGAGAGAGATGCACGGGAGAGTGGGAGAGAGAGTGAGAGAGAGATGCACGGGAAGGAAAAAGGAAAGAGAGAAAAGAAAAGAAAATGACATGTGTACAATATTTTAAAAGAGCAATCCAGAAATGCGCACATACACACTTTTGGGTTTAAATAAATTGCTGAGAATAATTTAATTACCTTGGAACTATTTAAACTCACACGTGTTAGAAACATTTATTAATTAATACTCAATTAATAATCCAGATTAGGCACACTAATAATCTCAATTACCTTAATTAGTCTCAATTAATTCTTCAGGATGTTACAGATGGTGCCAAAGTGAATAAAAGAGTCAAGATTGACTTTTATCAGGAAAAAGTAGTGATAAATTATATAATATTAGCTAAAGTGTGTGTGTTATTCTTTTATTATTATTATTTTTAGAAAAGTCTTCCAAGGGATTTGGCCTTGGAATTTGATTCCAACTTTTGATTGTTACTTCTTGCATAAGGCTTTGTACAATAGCATGACATGATCAATCATGTTTGGATGATATGGAATCCTTGTGTGAAACATCTATCTCATTAATGTTCCATGACAATTGGCATAACATCATGTATGCCACCTTATCATAGTTATTAATATGGACTTTACCACCCCATTAACAAAATTTATGTGAAATTGATCATTCTGAAGATGTTAAATGTTTCCATCACTGATTTATTTGTTGTTTTTTCTCAATTAATAAGACGAGATCTTCCTCAGATCGACTATACGACATATAAAATCTTATCTACTAATTAAAATCACCAAAGAATAATGTAGGTTTTAAATAGTCTAGTTTAAGCACCTGATCACCATTAATTTTTTTTAGCTAGTCTGATATTAACTTGTAAGATATCTTTTTAACTGTCCCTCTACTACTTATTTATCATAATTTATCTGACCATATGAATATGAACTAAATAATAAAAATATTTATGTAAATCATGAGGTGATTTAATTAGAGAGACAAACAACAAGACATGAAAACAGGTCAGTAGATATTGATCCACTTGAGTCATGTGCTAAATTACAAAATTTTTAATTAATTAAAAATTTACCAATCCAATTCTGAAACTCATTCATTAATAGAAGTGTTGGACATTGCTCTTCAAGAAAATAAGTTGGTGAATCATAGCCCTGGAAAAATATCCAAATTAGTTCCAAATTTAGAAAAGTAAAAAATTTGAATCAAACCCTTTTTAGGAAGTGATGTTTCTATTGCTTATCTGACTCTTTTTCTGCCAATACTATTACTAGCGGCGGTTTCTTTCTGCATAGTTATATAGAATATGCAACAATAATAATATGAGTGGAGACAACCCATGTGGAATAATAAAAAGAATGAATCAAAAGCACTTTGTCTGACTAAGGTCTGAGCAGAAAGCAAACAAGCAAGTGAGAGAAATTGGTCATACAGTCATAACGGCGATTAGGTTAAATGGATTTAAATGAGTATTTCTAAAGTGTCTTCTTATGAATCTGATGGGGCAGAAATAAAAGATAATAAAGTTTGAGATACGGGCACATTCAATATGAGATATTTACTTTATGGATTTGCTTTGTTTTGTTTTCTTAGTCATAAAAGTTTGGAATGGTTTTACATGGTTGTTAGCTTCAATCAAAATAAGTGCAAATAAAGTGTAGAATTTCCATTCTCTGAATCTCAAAAATGATATTAGCAAGTGCAGAATTAGAGATTTGGGGAACAGGAAATCCCAAATACCCCACATACCTTTTATACACGTCAGGATAAAAAAGTCATACAAAGATAAAAAGTTCAGCCAAAAAAAAAAAAGTTATATGGAAAGTGCTCTGAGCAGATTATAAGTGAAATTTCCCTCGTCTAATATGTACCATTTTGATGATTTCTGTAGTATCACTAATTCATGATACTTTCTACTCTCAAGTACAGTAAACTGGCAAAAACCTGCTTTAAAAAAAGGCAAATTATTTAACATAATTAGCAATATCACTGATTCAAACTGCGTTGTTTAAGCCATGTTGTGCGATATCACTGATTTCATTGAAAATGCTAACTTAGGCCCCAAAAATTAAAAGGGGAAAAGAACTGTGTCATGTTCTTGATATGTACACACACAAAGTAGAGGCCATCTTTTTTCTTTAGTATGTTTACATGAACTCCCCAGATGATAACTCATACTTCACAACTTACAACTTGGTACGCCAACAAGTCACTGAAGAAGGGATCAAGAATTGCTTCTCTGGCAGACTGATACTCGTCTAGGCGCTTCTTCAATGAGCGCAAATCCCTCACGTTCTTTGAAGTGTGTTCCTACCACGTCATTTCCATGAGTCAAAACCTAGCCCATTACTGCTCTTATATATATAGCTATGCAATCCAAGCACTGATGAAATTTAAAAATTAGCGACTGTCATCAGGTTTTCCCATCAGGATTGCCAATTATCCGAAATTTTCTATCTTAACAATTTTGGCTAAAAAAGATATGTTCTTATGTTCTTAAATATTCATAGTAAACACTTAAAAATCTTGTTTGTACCAACACTAAAATGAGTATTAAACATGGCATAGAAGTGAAGGAACCAAAAAGTATAGCGCAAACATTAGAGCAGAAGTAACGTGGAAAGAAACCCACATGACCATATTCATAGCCATCCATTAGTGTAAAGATCCACACGATGAAAAGGCAATATGTAAAGTAGAACAACTAAAAAGTTGAATGGAATGGAAAGAAATACAACTTACAAATGCTTTCTTGTGGAGTAATATATCCACCAAATACAGCAACCACAACACATTTGTTCTAGGGAAGCTGTGAATATGAAAAGTGGACATGATTAAGGATCCATAAACGTTCAAAAACAAAGGGGAAAAAAAAGAAAGTAAACAAGAGGTCCTGTTTCATTTTCTTCGAGAGTGCACGTATGCTCTTTTCTCCTCATATGTCAGCCGTCTTTCAAGACTTAAAAGAGGTTAATTAAATGTTCTTTCTTCTAGGTTCCAAGACAATCGCTTTTCCAGGGCACGCACAGTGAATAAAACTGTGGAAAATAGGTGCTAGAGATGGGATAAACACTTTAGGAATTGGATAAAACACTTAATCCCTAGAATTTAGGGATTCGGATGACAGTAAGTTAGGATATTAGAATATCTCTTCTAAGAAGTCTATATCTCCTCTTATCTCTTATCCATTATCCGTGTATATATAGCCCATTAGAGGCTCTTGTAAATGCGATTAATAAAATATGTAGAAAATCAGGATATCCCGGATTCCAGGGGATTAGGGCTGTTTAGATATTATTTGGTTTGACTTCATATTTTAAATTAGTTGAGATCTCCCACGAGATCCTCCTGATTTGATTTCTTTTCTTTTCCTAGAATAGTGAGATTTAGTTAGACTAGAAAGCTGTATATATAGGGCTGTAAAATACGTTTTCTGATTAATAAGAAAGTGTAGTGTTTTCCGATGGTCAAAATGGCCATGACTGGAGCAAGCAGGGGCGATAGCTCTGAGGTTTCAAGCGGAACTTCTCAGCTGACCCCTACAATTGCTCCCACTACATTTACCGAAAACTCATCCCTCCAAATTACCTCACGAAAACTCAATGGCAAGAACTATTTTCAGTGGTCTCGCTCAGTTAAGTGGGTGATCTGTGGTCGAGGAAAGCTAGGATACATCGACGGCACAACCAAGAGGCCAAGCGAGGATGATCCGACATTTCAAACCTAGAATGCTCATAATTCAATTGTTATGGCATGGTTAATCAATTCAATGGAGGATGATATCGCCCAGACCTATATGTATTGTTCCACCGCGACTGAACTTTGGGATTCCTTGAATCTCGCCTTCTTTGATCTTGAGAATTCAGCCCAGACGTTTGAATTAAGGAACAAGGCTAGAAATCTTAAACAAGGTGATTTGGATGTAACTCAATATTACAACTCATTGACAAGACTTTGGAAAGAGATGGACATGCTCAATGATTGTAAGTGGCACTGCGTGGCAGATAGTATGACTTACAGGAAGATGACGGACAAGGATCGAGTTTATGATTTTTTGGCCGGATTAAACAAAGACTTGGATGAGGTTCGTGGACGCCTTCTTGGGATTCGGCCATTACCTACTATCGGGGAGATTTTCTCTGAAGTTAGGAGAGAGGAAGGTCGGAAAAGAGTGATGCTTGGAGACTCCAAACCGCCGCCCACGGCAGAAAATTCTGCATTGGCTGCCCGTGGTTCGGACACTTGGAAAGACACTAGGGTTTCTAGAAAAGGAGGCAATTTGTGGTGTGATCATTGCCAAAAAACCACACCACACCCGAGACAACTGCTGGAAATTACATGAAAAACCAGAAAATTGGAAGGAAAATCGTGGAAACAACCGAGACTCAAAGGGGTTTCAAACCACGACCGAAGGTGTAAAGGAGGAAGGCAACCGCATGAATGTGTCACTCACTAAAGAACAAATGGAACAACTCTACAAGCTCCTTTCTCCTGCACAACCCTTTAACACCAAATCCCTAATAGCCCAAAAAGGTACCTTCTCAACTGCTCTCAGTAGTGTCTCCAGAGATCAAGAACCATGGATTGTTGATTCTAGCACAACAGATCATATGACAGGTTGTGCAAAACTTTTCTCCTCTTACACTCCTAGTCCAAGAAACCTTAAAGTCAAGATTGCCGATGGAACTCTCTCAACAATTGCAGGAGTTGGCAACATTGAAATAGACTCACACATATGTCTAAAAGATGTCCTCCATGTCCCAAAATTAACCTGCAATCCCCTTTCTATTAGCAAATTGACAAAGGATATTAATTGTGATGCGAATTTCTCACAATCTGTATGCATATTTCAGGACCTGATTTCGGGGAGGAAGATTGGCAGTGCTAAGGAACACGGGGGCTTGTACTACTTGGAGAAGGATGTTTCCGTGCATATACCTGCTCAACATGCTAGTTGTAATTCCTCATCTTGTCTAGAAAACAAAAAATAATGTTGTGGCACCATAGGCTAGGCCACCCTAGTTTTTCTTATTTAAAACATTTGTTTCCTACTTTGGTTTGCAATAAAGATGCCTTTCAATGTGAAATCTGTCAACTTGTGAAACACCAACGTTCTTCCTTTAATCCACATTCATATCAAGCGTCTAAACCTTTTTCATTAATTCATAGTGACATTTGGGGTGCATCAAGGGTTAAGAGTGTGATAGGAAAAAAATGGTTCATTACATTTATTGATGACCACACACGAATTTGTTGGGTATACCTCCTAAAAGAAAAATCTGAAGCTGCACAAACCTTCAAAAATTTCCATTCCATGGTTCAAAACCAATACAATAGCAAAATCCAAATTTTTCGTTCTGATAATGGAAGGGAATATTTTGACACGATCCTAGGAGATTATTTCTTACAAAATGGGATAATACACCAAAGTTCTAGTGTTTTCACACCTCAACAAAATGGGATAGCTGAAAGAAAAAATAGACACTTACTTGAGGTAGCAAGGTCACTCATGTTCACTACAAATGTTCCTAAGCTTTTTTGGGGGGATGCATTTCTCATTGCTTGTTATTTGATCAATCGTATGCCTACCAGGGTTCTACAATTTCAAACCCCTTTGAATACCTTTCATGAATCCTATCCTCAAATTAGAATTTCCACATCCCTACCTTTTAAAATTTTTGGTTGCACCTCATTCGTCCATAGGTTACTCAACAACACAAAAAGGGTATAAGTGTTATAGTCCAGAAAAGAGGAGATACTTCGTGTCTATGGATGTCACCTTTTTCGAAAATCAACCTTATTATACCAAAAATTCTCTTCAGGGGGAGCAATCATCTAGTGAAGATAATTTTTGGGAAATATTAGCACAAGATTATCCAACAAATCCCTCTGCAAATCTGCCATTACCCCAAACATTACCTCAAGAGAGTCCGAACCTAACCTTCACCCAAGACCAAATTCCGTTGCCAAATTCACTCTCAAACCCACTTCCATATCAAAGTCTTTCCGAGCCCGAGCCAATGGTGCCCTCAAACATTGATACAAACCCAACGACAGGGGGAGAATTACAAGAGCAGGATCAAAAGGAATTGCTGGTATATTCACACAAAAAAAAATTCAAAAAGAGTGGAAAATCCTGTGATTCTTCAGCAGGGTCAAGACTCCGACCTGTCTTCAGGTACACAGTCCTTAAATCCTAGCTCAGAAACAAAAGATCTTGATGTTCCCATAGCAATGAGAAAAGGTGTCAGACCATGTACCCAACATCCAATATCTAATTTTGTCTCCTATGATCGCTTTTCATCAAAATTTTGACATTTTGTAGCTAATCTTTCAGCCATGGAGGTTCCAAAAACCGTGCATGAGGCTTTGAAGATTCCAGAATGGAGAAAGGCAGTAATGGAGGAAATGAAGGCCCTAGAAAGAAATGATACATGGGAGGTGATAGAGAGACCCAGAGGAAAGAAATCGGTAGGATGTAAATGGGTGTTCACCATTAAATACAACTTGGATGGATCCGTTGAACGCTACAAAGCCAGGTTAGTGGCAAAAGGCTTTACTCAAACCTATGGCGTCGATTACCAAGAAACATTTGCTCCTGTTGCCAAATTGAACACAATCCGGGTACTATTATCCATAGTGGCAAACTTGGATTGGAAACTTCAGCAACTTGATGTTAAAAATGCATTCCTTAATGGAGATCTGGAGGAAGAAGTCTGTATGGATTTACCACCTGGATTTGATGAAACTAAAGACAGAGAGGTTTGCAAGCAAAAGAAATCTCTCTACGGACTCAAGCAGTCTCTGAGGACGTGGTTCGACAGATTCTCAAATGCTATCAAACAACTGGGATACAAACAGGATCAAACGGATCACACCTTATTCCACAAACATAAGGATGGTAAGATTACAATCCTTATTGTTTATGTTGATGATATCATACTGACAGGAGATGATGACATGGAGATGGAAAACTTAAAGAAGAAACTTGCAATTGAATTCGAGATCAAAGACTTAGGAGCTATGAGGTATTTCCTTGGGATGGAAATTGCAAGAAACCGAAGTGGGATTTCTGTTTCCCAAAGAAAATACACCTTGGATCTTCTAAAGGAAACGGGAATGTTAGGATGTAAACCGGTTGACACACCAATGGATCCTAACATCAAGCTAGGAGGACAAGCGACCAGTAGCCCAGTGGATAAAGGAAGATATCAGCAGTTAGTTGGAAGACTTATCTATCTCTCTCATACGAGGCCAGATATAGCATATGCCGTTAGTGTTGTGAATCAGTTCATGCAAGCACCATACGAGGAGCATATGGAAGCAGTGCATCAGATTCTGAAATATCTCAAAAGGACTCCTGGAAGAGGTTTATTTTTCAAGAAAAATGAAGCAAGGAGTATAGAAGCTTTCACAGATGCTGACTGGGCAGGTTCTATTAGTGATCGGAGATCAACCTCAGGGTATTGCACCTTTGTGTGGGGTAACTTAGTAACTTGGAGAAGCAAGAAGCAAACAGTGGTGGCTAGAAGTAGTGCAGAAGCAGAGTTTAGAGCAGTAGCACATGGAATTTGCGAACTTTTGTGGCTGAAAATGTTACTGGAGGAACTAAAAATCGTGTATAGTAAACCTTTAAAAATTTACTGTGATAACAAAGCTGCTATCAACATCTCTCACAACCCAGTTCAGCATGACCGAACTAAACATGTCGAAGTAGACCGGCACTTCATCAAAGAGAAGATTGAGGGAGGAATCATTTGCATGACTTATGTTCCCACTGCAGACCAAGTAGCTGATTTGCAGACCAAG